CTTTTTTAATTCTCTTGATGCTTTGATTCAGGTGTTTTACTTTTTGCAACCTTCCATCATATTATTTTGTGGCATCCCAGCCTATTTCACTTCTATATTCATTAACTCCCTGATTATACTGGGTTCTTGCTTGTTTACATCCCTATTATTTGTGTTCTAGTGGGCGACTGTGGCTGTGAGGGAGTGTGGTCGTCTTTCAACCAGAAGGTTGTGGGTTCGATCCCAGCCCATGCAGTCAACATGTCGATGTATCCTTGGGCAAGATACTTAACCCTGAGTTGCTCCCGATGGCATGGCCGACGGTGTGTGAATGTGTGTGAATGTTAGGTCCTAGAGTAAGGTACACTGCTCTGTATGAATGGGTGAATGACATGTAGTATGTAAAGCGCTTTGAGGGGTCTTAAAGACTGGATAAAGCGCTATATAAGTACAGTCCATTTACCATTCAGTTAAATTCATTAAAATAAGCTAGTGTTGTTTTTCGTCAATGAAGAGACAGCACCAACATCATTATGACTATATCCACATGTAATATTGTTGAAGAGAAAAAGAAGGAACTAAACTGTGGTTTAGAAACAAGCTGATATGACAACATTTAGTGCCATTTCAATACAACCCGATTAATATAATTAAAGATTACAATAGTTTCTGTAGACTAAACTGTTGTTTTTCTTTGAATAAAATGAAACTAAAAGGCCCAGTTTTTAAAAATATTGCCTAAAAGAGGCAGTTATTAACACTAACAGGATCTAGTCGACAAGCTCTCAAAGAAAAGCAACACACTCAACACGAGCGTCATGCTGAGTGTGATTGACACATCTTGCTTTTCTCTTGACAGTGGATTTGAAACAGTCAATGGGTGAGCTTAGAGGTGAACAAAATGTCACTCACGATGCTTGAACCAATAAGACAAGAGCAAACGTACCTGAGGCGACTCTTGTGTTTGTTCATGGAGGTGAGGCAGTATCTGTGGACGGTGTAGAAGTAGTCCTGGTAGGGGATCCCTGAGGTGATGACCTCCGAGTCCACCACGAAGCACTCGCCCCGCGCGCTGTTTTTATGCAACGTCTGGAAGCAGGAAGAAAGTGGAGGGTACAGAATGGTATGCTTGGTTTCCTCTACAGAATCATTTCAATCTACAGTTATGGCAGTGGCGAACCGTGTCTATCACAACTGGACCTTCTGTACACACACACACACCACCCCCCGCCGCCGCAGAGCACAAAACCACTCAAATGCGTAGTGCATGGACCAAAAGAGACAAACAAATCAACGTAACACTGTAATATTACAAATCAACAACACATTTATTCATTTTATTTACATTTGATAACATTTTATTTATATAACTAAATCGATTTTTGGTTTGTTTTATCAAAAAAGTGTTCCAGAGTATTCTCTGAATACCTTGAAGGCCTTGACGGTTCACCACTGAGTTATGGCATATTGGTAGATAATGAATTCAGAGCTCTAAAGACACCAGTATGCTTTGTTGCTCTCCTAACACTTTTTCAACATCCAAAAGGAAGGGAGGGGGCTGTTTTGGACCATTTCTGTAACTTTCTGAAACGATTACGCCACCATGGTACGCTTATGTTGAGAAAATGAACTCTCTCAGTCTCTTTTTCTATTCTTCACTTTTTCCATCACTCTTATTGTAAATAATCCGGGGCAAAAATGTACGTCTTGCAGGAGAAACCATACCACATCTCCTCTCATCTTAATGACAGCTGGCTCTTCTTTCCACCTGAGAGTTTCATATTTATTTTATGGCACAACCAGTCCTTCCGTCTCTCTGTGTGTGTCTGATCTGTTCTGGTCCATATTCAGTATAGATCCGTAAATGTTTCAGGGAAATGTAAGTTGGTGTTACAACGAATGCCAGTTCGTATTGTTGAGATGTCGAAAAAACCATTTGCGTAATATATACCACACGGATATGTCCCAACATCTTGACTTTTTGAAAGAAAATTTGACCAGTTATGAAACCAAAACATTTTCTCAATATTCAAAATGTTCTACTTCACAAAATATCCCTTATCTTATAACTAGTTTTTATAGCAGAATTATGTTTTATTCTTTTTAAGACTGTAGATTTTTTATTTCCGAATGGAGTTTAAGATTTTAAAGCTGTATTGTTTTTGTAAGGTGTATACTTATTTGAAGTACTGGTGCCTGCACTGGATCCCTAACTGGACCCAAACATTACAAAGCAAACATTTACAAAACTTCACAACGACATAAATTATAGAGGAATGTCCCCTCCATTCAAAGCTAAATAAGCATTGGGTGAAGCCTGTGGGCTGACCTGCGTCTCCACCACGGGGGCCGTCTTGGGGCCGAGGGGGTTGTTGAGGGCGATGGTGTAGCTCAGCACACGGCTCGTCGTCCCACTGCTGATGTCCGGCTGCCATTCACCCACAGCGAGGTCTAGAGGAGAGAGAGACAAAGAGAGGGAGAGAGAGGAAATTAGCACGTCAAGAGCGAACAAATGACAGAAAGTCCAAAATAAGCGGTTAGGGTTAGTGTGCTTTTTGTTAAAGATTGTATTTATAAATAATGAGAGAGACCAAGACATTTCAAAGGATTAAAGGGAGTTTACAAAGTGAGAGGAACAGCATGTCCATCCACACTCTTTCATAAAAAAGGAAGAACTAAATGCCCCAATTAGAGCTACACAATGTTCCCAAGTGGGCTGGGCTTCCAACCGGGATAGACACTGAACACATCAACTCCAAAGCTTCACCTCTGACGTCGTTCAAACTACTGCAGAAACAAGGTTTACAATATTACACTATGCAAAGATGACCTCAGGTGAAGATACACAGAAAACAATAGGATTACAAAGCAGGAGATTCAAAACCAGTAATGGAGGGCGGTTAACGCAGCGTAAACAGATAGTGTGGCACGCTCATTAGAAGCACAACACGCTACAGCAAGTCTTTGAGGGCTGGGTGGTCCGCACACGGCTGCTCCGTTATGGCAAACATATTGGGTCGATATTGAAAAACTTGTTTCACTATCGTTAAAAGGCAAAATCTTCATAAATATTTGATTAATAGCTCAGCCCCATTACTTCACTGCTTTGTGTTCATCAGCTGGACCGAGGAGCGCAGCTGCTTCATGTGAGCAACAAATATACCTTTAAAAAGCAGAACCATCAGCACACATTAAAAGATGAAAGGTAAAGAGGTTTTGCTAGTGTGCTTTTTATTTTGCTACTGGATATCCAATATTGACTATAAACAAAGTCAGTATTTTTTGCATTTTTAAGACACCAATTACTTTTATTTTGGGCATGTATCTCTACCGCAGGATTGCAAACTTGTGGCAAGGTGGTTTGTGTACAACACACAGGGCTGGCTTTGAACAGGCAGGAGGCGATGTTAGCCATCTGTGATGTAAAAATAATTGAGATGCATATGCAGACATGTTCAAAGATGTTAAAACCTGAAAAATATCAGCAACATTCAGAATATCCAAACAAAATATGCTGTAAAGCTGAGCTGTTACACATTCTGAATAGTATTGTATACTATATGTTTGATTATATTATATTTACTTCTATTGTTTTTGCCTTTTTAATCTGCTCTGTTCCCTTTGGTGTAGCAGAAAAATATCCCCAAGAAAATGATATCCGATTCTGATTTCTGATTATTCTGAATTACAGTGGAATAGTAGAGTGCATGTAAACATTGGGACTGTAGCAACCACACCAATAGGTACTGGCAGTGCACCAAAAGTCAATGTCAAACATCAGGTTCTGCTATCAGACACAAAGAAAGCAGAGCAAGTTCTTTTTCAACTGACAGCAGCCTCACTAGTCCAGTAAGCAGCAGAGCGAGTACAAACAATGAGCCTCAACCGTCGCCGTGTCAACAGGAAAAACTGGCTCTCATGCGTTTGCTCTTATGAAACAAGTTAATGCAAGTTATGAGCTGAATTAAAGGTAGGGTAGGTAAGAATGGAGAAACCATCTCGAGTTCGCTAGAATTTGAAAGTACGCAGCCGAATAAAATCTGCCCCTTCCTTCAGACTTCCTTACAGAGCCCCTCCTCCAACACACACGAACGCGCACATGACCAATGAGGGCACGAGATAAGTTTGTGCCCAGACTGGCTGACAGGCAGGTAGGCCAAGCAGTTACTTTAGCCGGCTCAGATGATTGGTCGTGCTTTTTACAGCGCCACGGCTTCCACAGATGCATTTTTTTATGTATTTATTGTCAAAGCATTTAATGTATTCATTGCTATTGGGATGTTAGGAGCATTCCATGGAATATAACAACAAGTGTTTCTGAAGTGAATTACCTACCCCACCTTTAATTCTGGGCAATGTAGGAACAGCACATAATTATCAAAGCTGAACAGTTTCACAGCATGAGAAAGAGCTCCCAAAGATCTCTTAAACATCGGTTAAATAACCCAATAAAAACTAAAAGTACCTTATTAATTCATCACTAAAATTCAATAGAAGTAGTTTAACCATAAGGAACATTCTGTACATCCAAATATTAAGGATGTGTATTGGCTTAAATCTGGCCAAGCCACACACAACATATCATAAAGGGGTAAGAATTCAATATTATTGTTCGATATATTGCAATACTGTAGGCAAGGCAGCGCATTGCAATGTGTTACAATGCTGTAAGCCAGGCGATATATTGTTATATCTCATTTCAGAAAAGTTCTTATAGTATAAAGCACCTCTCTATCCAGAACCTACGAATTAAAAGTGTTTTATAATTCAAAAGGAACAGTGGTATCTGCATTTGCATTATCAGTCACTGTACAGTTCATCACAGCAATACTGAAGAATTGCCACGGATCTTGAACTATTATAAATTGATACAGTATCATAAAACATAATAATGATAATCAAAGATATCGATCATTTCTCACACCCCAAGCAGTCACAAAGTTTTGACCATCATACGTGTGTGTGTGTGTGTGTGTGTGTGTGTGTGTGTGTGTGTGTGGAGTTTCGAGAAGAACACTCACAAAGGAGGCAGCAGCAGAGACGGGTGCGGAGGCCGAGGCGTTTGTGGGAGTGGTGGACGGCAGCGAGCTTTGGGAGCTGGGCGGGCTCTGATCGAGGGGGTCAGAGCTGAGCCTGCGTCCAGAGGAAGAAGGCACCTCTATGGGCAGACAGGAGGCGGAGGGGGAGGGAGACAAGCCCCCGAGGTTTGTAGCTGCGAGAGGGCTGGCTGGACCGCAGGGCAGGGGAAGGGGAGAGCTGCCCGTAGAGGGAAGCGACACTGAGCTCAGGTCGAGTAGATCTGTCACCGACACTGACTCGTCTCCTGGCCTAGGGAACGAAGAGAGAGGAAGTGTGTGAGACAGAGACACATAAGAGACACTCTGAGAGAGAAAGAGCCATTGTTTTGTTAAAGTGCTTAAGGTGAAGGAAATCTTTAACAACAAAAATCAATTAATAGAGTTTTTGTGCCGGGCGATATAAATAGCTCTATTTCATAACACTGAAAAATATTGTACTTTTTAAAGATTGTTCTTTTTGGCGACTCTCGCTTTTGTAACATTAGATAGAATAAGCAGGTATTGATGTTCATCCATAAATTCATTTAAATATGAGTTCTATAAATTCCCAATGCTTGCAAATAAAGAGACAGCACAGTTAATGATGCATAGTAGTTGTCTTGAATTAGAAAATGAATAGTATTTATTATAATAAACAAACAAAAGCACCAAGCATTACTTAAAGACTTAAATGACCAGGCACACAATATCCCATCCCAAAAGTATTACTTTTTCAGTTAGTTAAGTGTGTTAACATGCACACAAACATCAACGATAGCCTCGCATTGCCCCTAAATGACATTGTTGCACCACACAAACACTCACAGTAGGCCGTTCATGTGCTCGGCGGTGGGGGAGACATAGTCGTCGTCTTCACTCGTGAGGCCTAGCTCAGTGCCGTAACACTGGTGTACGATGTGCCACAGCTCTTTGGGAGATAGAGACTGCAAGACAAACACAATATTCTTATTCAGTAGATTACAAGGCGAATTAATAAAACAAACGGATCATTAATAGTCAGGACACAGCCACTTTAATTTCAACATAATACAGTGAGTGCATTCATAAGGGTCAGGCTTTACATAAGATGTATTTTTCATAACCAAGGACATTTTATCATCATATGTTGGGCTTTTCTTGTTGCAAGGCTGTAAGATCAGCTGCTTTCCATTACCTTATTATTATTATTATTATATATACATAATATCAGCAAAAAAGGAAGTGGCATTTCATGATTTCTCTCAACAGAGTCATCCGGTTTAAAAGCATTTTGCAGATGAAACATCAGGTCGATTTATTCTTTCTGGCAACCGTCATGTGCTTCATTCCTATGCTGCTGGGTTTCTTCACTGGCGCTGTCCAAATAAATGTCTATACTTAAAACGCAGCAAATAACAGTGATTTCAAATGTTCTCCCAAGCCTGTGTTTGTGGCCATCTCCTGCTTATTCACACTTGGTTCTATTCTAAGATGTTAACCACTAGCCGTCCCGCAACAGGCAGCGGGACAAAGCAGGCAGGAGGGTGGGAGAGGAGATTATACCTTGTCCAGCAGTGCGTTCTGCCACAGACGGAAAATCATCATGAAGCTGCGATCCCTTGCTCCGAAAGATGTGAAGAAGTGCTGAGAAAGGGAATATCAGGGGGACAGGAAGAGGAGTCGGAGGAAGGAAGGAAGGAAGGAAGTCAGAAGACAAATGTGATTTGACTGATGGTTTCCCTCTGTTGGGATGTTTGCTTTGAGACAGTCAGTGGAGATAAGGTTGAGTCAGCTCATTTGATACTGCTTGACTTGCAATAAAAAGGATGAGTTAGGGTTAACTGTATCAACAGTCAACACTTTTTCATTTTTGGAGCAGTAGTTAACTTGACAGATAGAGAATGTGTTACAAAATGACATATTTGCTTTTGGTATTACACATTCAATTAAAAGTCCTAATTTCTTTAAAGATGGGCCAAACTATGGCTCAATCTTAAGTGTAATCGAGTCTGACCTTCTCATTGTCGGTGCTGATCTGGATGGCGTTTGGGATGAGCTTGGCAGTCTTCTCCTTTGTCATAGAAGTCACGTCTTTCAGCAGGATAGTGATCTGTACGGGGGAGAGAGATTTACTGTGTGAATGCTTCATTGTGTGATAATCTTATCTCACTAAGGGCCTGAGCCTATCTGTATTGATCTGCAAACAAGTGCATTAAAAGGACTTCTTATCTGATTGCAGGTGTGACATGGACCAGGTTACAACAGTCATTTGTTTGATTGCGCACGTGCTTATGTGTACACAGTGTGTGCATGACTTACAGTGGTTTCCCAGCGGAAGATGTTACTGTAGAAACAAAGCCAATTCTCCGACAGATAAAGGCGGCCCTGAAGCAGTATGTCCTTCTGCAGAGCGCACGAGTAGTCTGAGGAAAGAAACAGGAAACAGACAGATCTAATTAATAGAAAGAGACAAATCAAAAGGTTGCTTTTTAACTAAAGTGTGGTGACACAGACGTAGCTCGATGTGCATGAGCTCAGCACACAGAGACGAATATGTACGACCACTCAAGAGTCTCACTCACCCACTATAAGTCGTTCTGTGTCAGGAAGTTTTTTAAAGAGTTTACGAAAATCTTCGTTCCGCTGTTTGTATGTAGGACTGAGAACCTGAGGGGAGGACAGGAAATGAGAACATTGTATTCTACTTCACAAGTACCCGACGCACTAGTTAGGATAAGCTTTGGATAGACTATCACTCATTGTTAAATATCTAAACCACAATCAGTGTTTGTTAACATCAGCAAAGTCGAGTAGCCTGAAGTGAAAATACCTAACGTGGGGCTGTTAATATATACTTACATTGTACCAGCTCTGCATTTTCTGTAAAGAAAAGAACAGTATATTTAGTAATGAACAGAACGTACATTTTACTGTAAGAATATAAATATCACCAAACAATGGATTGTAAACAGGTAAAGAAAATCTACCAGCATGCATTTGGAAGATAAACCCACTTCTACATATGCATGGATGTGATCCTGCCAGTCCCTAGGCTGAAACTGTTTGTGTAACCTTGAGGTTTTGCAGTTTTCAGCACTTCTCCATTTAAAAAAAGGTACATGCCACTGACCAGCTGTGTACAGTAACTAGTATAACAGGCATTTCTTTTCACAACAAATGTCCTGAAAATAAAGGAGATGTGAAAGCTTACATGAAACCCTTATGCACACAACACCACAGGCCGTGTCTAGGTACATTTACAGAGCGCTAACATGCTCACATTTCCATTCTGCCAACAAAACCAGTTAACATTGTTCTTGTAAAATGCCTCAAATAGAAAGTAAGGAAAATACAAATAACACATTTAAATGTATTTAACATATCAGTGTTGATAAACCAGCGTGTGGAATGCCTTTCCCTCCCACACAATGGCATTTTAGCTGTTGGTTTATTATCATAAACTTTCTTTGAAATGCAGCTGAAAGCTCAGAATGATTGAAGATTGTGCCAGAATGGTGAATTCTCACTCAATAGTTTGTTATTAATTAATGTTTTGATTAAGAGGGCGCAATCCTACATATCAAATCCTGAGTGATATTCGGAGTTACCTTGGCATTGCGGCTGAAGTGTCGAGAAGCAAGTGGGTAGGCGGATGTGAGGGAGGAGGCAGAAGGTATGGAGGGCAGGGGGCTGTCGGAGCCTCCCCCCCCACCGCCGCTCTTCTCTCCTCCTCCCTCGCTCTCACTGGCCCTGCTGCTTCCCCCGAGGACCCTGCGCCGCAGCGAGGGAGAGCTGCCGGGGGTGCTGCGTGGAGAGTTACTGGCCGTACTGGAGACAAAAAAAAAAAACAGGGAGAAAGATTGAACTCAGGGAAGAACAGAGGAAACATTTCATAAATAAATCTTGCCCAGTCATCCCTTCAATGGCATGCTATGAAGAAACGCTGCAGGCATTTCCTATTTGATCAAAGCAAGCCATCTCAAAGTGCCTACTAAAGACCAAAGAAAAAGCACGTACAGTCAGTGTTATCAGATGACTGTGACTGGAGCCGCAGCCAGACAGTGAGGGCATTTAAAGCTGTTCAGTAACGGCTCTAAAAGGGCAAAATGACCATTTTCATCTGGCTTCGTATTAGTAGAGTAGTATATGCAAATGAACAATGTTTAAATGTCCTTCATGTTGTTAGTATCCAGAGCTCATTTGCCAGCAAAAGCATTTGCCGGCTCTGTTTGAACAACAGGTTGTACTTCAACAGATTTTCTGTATGCCATCTGTTCAAACAACAGCCCTACGCCATTGAACGCACGCAGAAAGACACATGCGGTTTCAAATGTTCCTGGATAATCGGTGGGAAGGTCTGGGTGACGGCAAACATAGATGGAAGTTAGATATTGTACATTTGCATCTACGACCCACATTGTAATCATACAAAACCGGCTGAAGAATGACAATGTGTCCCTTTAATTCTGTCCAAACCACTACAAAATACAAGATCTGCAGTTTCCTTTAGAATAAAACACTGCCAAGTCAACCAAGAACTTCATAACATTTAAACTGTAATTACAGATCTGATCATTTCAAAACTGAAACAAACCATTAGATAAAAGCTGCAAATACTTGTTTTGATTCATTCAGTCATAGCAGCGGTGCTAAGGCACGTCGGCCCAGCATAATGTGAGCGCGGAGCGCATGTAATTTTTTAGTGCGTGCGAAGTGCGCCCCGCCAATTTGTTTCTATGTGTCAGCACAAGAAAGGCTCTTGAGGCCTAGTACCAGGGCCGTTTCTAGACAATTTGCTGCCCTAGGTGAGATTTTAGGCGATATCTTATGTGTAAAGAATAAATGAAAAATTTCTACAAAAGACAAATACACTGCAGAAACTTATTGACATAGGTAATAGACGTAAAAATGGCTTCAAATGTATTCAGTATTGTATGAACATGTTTGAATTGGGGGGTGGACGTCACATCCTTTAGGGGGGTCCGGGGGTATGTAAAATGCTTCAATCTGGTGCACTTTGAGGCCAGGATGCCGCCGAAACACTATTGAAAATTCCTTTTTTTGAGGATGCTTTACAAAATCGCGCCTACATCCCTCGTGAAATCGCCAATTCTATTTTAACCGAAATCACTTCATGCCGGGGGTCCAAAGGAAGAGTATAA